CAATATTTCGAAATTTAAGGACGCTAATTTACTTAAAATGTATACACCCCGGCTTATCATGTAGCGGTAGCTTTCGGAAAGGTGGAAAACATATATTTAATACTTGCGCCGGGTATTTAATGTTCGGTTCCGCCCGAACTTAGACTTTCTTACTTGTTGTTAGTAATTTTACGCGTTCCTTTCCCACTTTGTCTAACTGAGAGCGCGACAAAAATTTGCTGAACACTCTTTGTTCGAAACAAATTGATTTTGATTTTCTAACCGAACGACTTGATCAAGGCGAATTAATATAAGGTGATAGCAGTAGTACAAAAACAAAAATTTACATGTATTTTATTTTTGCTTCGGCGGCATAAACAGTCAAAATCTGTTAGAGTGTGTGTAGAAACTCAAACAAAATTTTTTAATTTGGCATCAGACGCCGTGCGGCGAAACACATACACAAAATCAGATGATCTAGTAACACCACCTTATATAAATTCGCCTTGGACTTGATGATTCGGGTTATTTGCCCTCAAAATCGCATGTGGGCAACAATATCATCAGTTTTTCGCTTCAGAACAAAATATCCGGCAAAAATGTTTTGAGAGCAAATAAAAAGTTGTTCGGACACGAACGGTGAATCCGCCTTTACGATCGAATCGAAATAAGAGGAAGAGAGAAAACATCTTCAAAATCAGCTGTTTGCCCATAATGGAATTATACCAGGTGTAGTAATAAGAGCGAGAAGAAAGATTTGACACTATCCTTTTTGAAAATTTGCTTGAACAAATTTCAACAAGATAGCCGAATGTCAAGAAAGCTAAGAAAATAAAGCCAGACAGCTGTTTTATTACTACACCTGGTATAATTTCACCATGCTGTTTGTCTAGGAATGCGTGAAATCGAAACAAAACAAATATGTATTTGCCACCAAACTATGGCCCCTATTATGAGTTGCATTCGATCTTCGACTGTGCTCGAAAGTGCTAATCGTACGAATTTTCATTTGGTATTATGGCGCTCATTCGATGAAGGATAGCGCTATTGTGAATTTCGCTCGTTTAGGTTGTTCACAATAGTATATTTTTCACCACTGAAAAGCTTTGTTTACAGATCGAGCAAACTAAATAGAGTGCTTATACATATGTACATATGTAAATTTGTGCAAATTAAAATGAAATAAAAAAGAAAGTGAGTTTATAAAAGCGTAGTAAAAAAAAAATTCGAATTAGCACAACGGAGTTCTGGTTGAACGATTCGTCAGAGAATGAGGGCTTAAAAAACTGGCCAAGAGCAGAAAACGTGAGAGTTTAAGTGCAGTCTTTCGAATATATTTTGACATACAATATATTTAAGAAATTTTGTGATCAACATAACAAACATATTCTGAACGCTCAGAATATATGAGTCGGAAAGGAGTCCTAGGTAGGTAAGAAATATGAGTTTCAAAAACAAACTTTTTTTTATTCTTATATGAATCTTTTAGGAGTCATATATGATCCAAGATATGAGCCAGCACTTTGTGCTAACCTTGTTTATACAGATATGAAAAATAATTAGGAAGGAAAAAATAAACAAAATTTAGCTGCAGCAACTGCTATTACATGAATGCTGCAATATATGTACATATATATGTATGCGCAGAGGTATGTATATACATATGTAAAGTATTTGAAATGAATTCCTTGCTAACATGGCTCTAAAGTAAGTTCATTAAGAGAGTTGAAGAATAAAGCCAAGAGTCACAGAACAACATAAAATAAGACTCCGAAAGTAGGAATTTATGAGGCCAATGAGAGTCATTTAAGAGCTTCAAAAAGAGTTCAAAATGAGCCGTATATGAGCCCAATAAGAGTCCAATATGACTCATATTGAGGCTCTTTTGATGTATGAATTTAAGCTCTTATAGGTCGACCTTCGCAGGAAGGGAAACACCCTCATTTCGGACTCTTAAATGAGCTCATTATGAGCACAAAGGCTCCACAATTGGACTCCTTAAAGACTCATTTATGACTCCAAATGTTTGCTGGGCTGATATCAAATTGAAAAAATTTGTTTCAATTTCTACACACACTCTTTAAGATTTTTACAGTTTATGCCGCAATTGCCTTTAAAGGCAAAAACAAAATACATGTAAATTTTTGTGTTTGTACTCCTGCTATCACCTTATATTAATTCGCCTTGATCCAAATCTATTTAAAATATATTAAAACTATAAACTAGGGCTGTGCGATTATTCGATTACTCGAGCAAGTTGGTTAATCAATTATTCGGTTAATCAATTACTCGAGTAATCAAGATTTTGATTACTCAAAACGATAATTAATCGAGTTACTTGAAATATGATTACTCAAAAAAAATAATTTTGCTCGTTAAAAGAGTTTGCTTTGGAAAATGCTTATTTTCTTTTTTACATTCTGTATATGAAAAAAATTTTTTGTTTTAATTTTTGAAAACAGAAACGTTGTTTTCAAAGTATCAAGGAACTTTAGCTACTTTATACATATGTAAAGAGTTGAAATGTTGATTACTCATTTTACTCGAAATGTTGATTAATCATAAAGCAAATTACTCAAATATTTTTGTTTTTGGTTAATCAAAAATCTTGATTACTCGAGTAACTGAACTTTTGAGTAATCATAATTTCCAATTAATCGAATAATTGAGTTATTTACTTTATGATTAATTAAAATTTTGAGTAATCAATTAATCGCACAGCCCTACTATAAACAGCTCCATGATTTTGTTTTCAGAGATCGTGCCAACAGCGTATAGGGATTTTCTTTCATATGTAAAACCAGACTTTCGTGTTTACTATTCACGACGTTAGAACTGTTTGAAATTAATATAAATTGTTTAAAATTAGTGTCTAGCCGCCAAAAAGTAAGAAAACAAATGCAAAATCATACATTTTTAAAATTTTCTAACATTTCGCTACACCAACGAAAGCAAAATTCTGTTCGACAGAAAATTCGATACTCAACAAAAATTTCGACACGCTTGCATAGCTCATAATACGAATTTCACTTTCGATCTCCGATAGCCAGCGCACTCTGGGCAACGTGAGCAACCCATGTGCGAGATGCGGTAACCAATCCGAGTGGAGCCTTGGCTCACGGCAGAAAGAGAGGGAGCTTCGGTGGGGCCACTCCGACTTATTCGGTTTAAGGGCTCACTGAAGTCTGCAGCGTCTGTTCACCAGTAGGTGCGGCTGCAAGCGGGTGTCTGCTCGTAGCAAGCGGCTAGCGTCCCAGAAATGGGTTGTGCGCTGGGCTTGGGACCCGCCACGTAAAAACCACTTCCAGTGAAGAAGCAAGGCAAAGCCTCGGATGAGACCCCCCTTATAATGACGACCACGGCAAACGTTTAAAGGACTACGATTTGAGGGCATGCACCTGGAATGTCCGGACCCTTAATGGGGAAGGTGCCTCTGCCCGGCTGGTTGATGTCCTCGTAAGGACAAAAGCTGACATCACCGCCATCCAAGAAATGCGTTGGACGGG